GAAAGAAGCTGCAGAGGTATGGGCCTCACTCAAAACAGAGGGAGAAAGTGCAAACGCCTGGTGGGGGCGCGGTGTGTACAGCGTCCCTAAATCTCCCGACAAATGGGCAAACCAGATGGAACTCTTAGATAACAATTTTAGAAACATGATGAAGAGGGATGTGGCACTTCATGGTGAAGAGTATGTGAAAAGAGAGTATCCACCACGTGCATCGTTCTGCATTCCTTTGCTCATCGACCCAGAGAATGCCTACGACATTTCAGTGAGGCCAACGCCTGAGATGGAGGCAGCGGGAAAGCCACCGGGCATGAATCTCGGTGACAAGCTGTTGAATGAGCCCGGACAGCCAGAGCGCTGCTGTGTGGTTCTCCGGGTGGCTGGGGAGGACGGCGTTGCCAATGCTCGAGCTCGCCTGTTAGATGCTCTGCGAGCACGCGAAGCGGCTGCTCAGATTCCTAACCTCAAGATTACCGCGAAAGCGCGCTTGGGGAATGCTCTGAGGCAGCGAGGATACTTACCGGAAAGCAAGATCCTGCTAACAGATGTTCTGGAGGCCCGTGAGCGCACCCTCGGTGCCGAGCATCCTTCCACATTGGATTCAGTCAACAATTTGGCAAATTGTCTCAGAGCCATGGGCCAGCTGAAAGATGCAGAAGTGCTCTACAGGAAAGCTTTGAAGGCCCGTGAGCGCAGCCTCGGTGCCGAGCATTTTGAGACATTGGGCTCAGTCAACAATTTGGCAATTTGTCTCATAGCCATGGGCCAGCTGAAAGATGCAGAAGCGCTCCACAGGAGAGCTTTGGAGGCCTGTGAGCGCACCCTCAGTGCCGAGCATCCTTACACATTGGGCTCAGTCAGCAATTTGGCAAATTGCCTCAGACGCATGGGCCAGCTGAAAGATGCAGAAGTGCTCTTCAGGAGAGCTTTGGAGGCCTGTGAGCGCACCCTTGGTGCCGAGCATCCTTTCACATTGGGCTCAATCAACAATTTGGCAGATTGCCTCGAAGCCATGGGCCAGCTGAAAGATGCAGAAGTGCTCCACAGGAGAACTTTGGAGGCCAAGGAGCGCACCCTCGGTGCCGAGCATCCTTCCACATTAGTCTCGGTCAACAATTTGGCACTTTGCCTCAGAGCCATGGGCCAGCTGAAAGATGCAGAAATGCACCACAGGAGAGTTTTGGAGGTCCGTGAGCGCACCCTCGGTGCCGAGCATCCTGACGCATTGGGCTCAGTCAGCAATTTGGCAATTTGCCTCAGTGAGATGGGTCAGCTGCAAGATGCAGAAGCGCTCCACAGGAGAGCTTTGGAGGCCCGTGAGCGCACCCTCGGTGCCGAGCATCCTTCCACAGTGGACTCAGTCAACAATTTGGCACTTTGCCTCAGTGAGATGGGCCAGCTGAAAGATGCAGAAGCGCTCTACAGGAGAGCTTTGGAATAGCCTGAACGGAATGGCCCGTAAATGCCTCAGCTTGGTTTATTTCGGTAAGGTTTCACCACGGAAAAGGCGATCCTGCGGTCGACTATCACCTCGCCACTTTCCTGACATGATATTTTGAATGTGAATTGCTTTAACATCACGTCCTATAGTGAGAGTCAGAACCACCACAAGTGTCCATAAGTGTTTCACTCATGTTGTAGACGCAGTCACAACCGATGATCCCCGTGGGTCAAGTTGGTTGAAGATGCACAGACCTCACCATGTGAAACGCCGCCATCGCCCGAGGTTCAACAGGCATCGCCCAGTGATTCCACACGGCTTTTCCGCCCAGCCCTCAGCTTACGGAACCGACTTCATGCGACATGAGAAGCAGCAACCTGCGGTTGCTTATGGAGCCTTATTGAGCTATCCTAAGCAATGATCATCAATAACTTAGGCACTAGCAAAAAAAACAATGGTCCATGGTTCATTGTTGATTATACCTCTAACACTTGGCGTGATGTTTTCCGTCGAAGGTCCCGATTGCATAATATTCTCTTGTTCTGTGGTGCCCACATGTGGCGGGTCACATCTTGAATTGGCAAGCTGTATTGGAATGCTAGGAATATTTTTTGAACCCATAGGGAATCTTAAGCATCACGTTGAGGGGTGGTTCTTGTAGATGATAAAATGATTCCACCAACGTCTGACAGGGTGATATCTTTCGCATTCGGACAGCTGACTGCTCATCATGGCCATGGATGAGTGATGAAACTTAGTGCGAAATGTTGGAGGTCTGACATGTTGGAAACATTGTTTTTTTTTTGTTCGAGAGCTCATGGCTGGCACGTCCATTTGGAGAAACTGGCGCACATCCAAAAACTGCAGTCTTGATGCGAAATATGATGATGAACTCCAGCGCATACGCTGTATCCCATTTTGGGGTAGACAGCATACGCACCCCATTTTGGATGCCAAAAACTGGCGAAATCGTAGATGACGGAAAATGTCGTTGAAAATTTCTCTGGGTGTTTGAAAAATAATAGCTCAACATAGCTCAACATAGCTCAACACAATTGACCCAAGAGGGAGCCAGATCCTGGACATCTAAAAATGGCGCTTATCCCTGAGTCCTAAGTGCAGGTACCCCATCATTCCTTCGCCATTCTTTCACCGAGCACGTCATGATTTGATGGTTACTTCCTGAATCCCCAATATCGGTCAAATGGTCAAATCTCCATGGTTCTTGGCCAAAATCACCGCGTTTGCGCAGTTGAACTCAGCCGTTTTGGTGGAATTCCTTTTCTTTATTTGGTTATGTTGAAGATTCCCCGTTTTGGATCGTTTCGGACCATTTTTGTAGGTTGAAGTCGGCAAATTTGGGATGGTCGAGCTGCCTTAATGAGTTTGTTTCGCTGGTGGATACCTCAAAATGACAATTTTATTCTGCGGGTATTACACTGTCCCAATTTGAGATCTACAGGTACCTATTTTGTGTGCGCTCCCCATGAAAGTCAAGGATGGTGGATTCCAGCATGACGCAAACCATGCCAATTGCAGATCTAAGGAGAAAATCTTGTGGACCAGCCAACTCCAATTGCCCTGTGGACCATCTTGTTGATCTTGTTTCACGATGAAGTTTTGGGAGGTCTCCACCTGGCATAGATTGGCATAGATTCCAGAATTCCAGCTGGCAGTGGTCTCTGCGATATCCGATCAATTCCAGGTCTCCAGAGCTACAGCAGCCTTCCCCTGCAGAGCCCGACGGAATCGTTCCTTGCCAAGACCTTGCAGCATGGGGCACTGTTTGGTTGATATTTGATATGGTCAACTTTGCCTGCACGACACTCATGAGCTTTGAGTTTTCTCAAGGCAGAAGTTCAGCTATTCAACAGATGCATCATGGCTGCTGTTGCATCATGATTCATTTTGAGGTAGCTGGATCCAGGTTGACGGATTTTCCGGGCCACAAGCCTAGCAGAGCGCCGAGCTTGGAGGGGTATTTGGCTCGGAGGCAGGCTAATATCAAGGAGCATCTTTCAGCAGGCATAGCAACGCATAGCAACCACTGCTTGGCACTAGCTGTGAGAAGGCGGAACTGTTTTAAGGTAGCTATATAATTCAAGGTACCAACGCATTCAAGGTACCAATCCTAGCTCGGTATAGCATGGTATAGCCAAATTAGAACATTTGGTGCCACCCCCTGTATGATTGCATGAAGATCTCTAAGCTCCATAAATCTCCATCAGAAAACTGCAGATTGCACACTTGCTTCCGTCATTCAGTGCGTTTATAAGCCATGACGGCAACTTCCACTGTGGACTTGCGGCGTTACTTCGAAACCTTCTACCGAGAGGGTGGGGAGTTCCAAAGTGAAGAGTACGAGGACAGCGAGGATTTCAATCATTCCTGGAAGCATCTTCGAACAGGCATCGTTGTATGGAAAGATGCCATTGATTTGTCAGCAAGGCCAGGTGCCAAGGCTTTCTTTCACTACACGGGGGAGCTGGCTTTCAGAAACATCACCGCCCTTGAGAAAGAAGCTGCAGAGGTATGGGCCTCACTCAAAACAGAGGGAGAAAGTGCAAACGCGTGGTGGGGGCGTGGTGTGTACAGCGTCCCTAAATCTCCCGACCGATGGGCAGACCGAATGGAACTCTTAGATAACAATTTCCGAAACATGATGAAAAGAGATGTGGCACTTCATGGTGAAGAGCATGTGAAAAGAGAGTATCCACCACGTGCATCGTTCTGCATTCCTTTGCTCATCGACCCAGAGAATGCCTACGACATTTCAGTGAGGCCAACGCCTGAGATGGAGGCAGCAGGAAAGCCACCGGGCACGAATCTCGGCGGCAAGCTGTTGAATGAGCCCGGGCAGCCAGAGCGCTGCTGTGTGGTTCTCCGGGTGGCTGGGGAGGACGGCGTTGCCAATGCTCGAGCTCGCCTGTTAGATGCTCTGCGAGCACGCGAAGCGGCTGCTCAGATTCCTGGCCTCAAGATTGCCGCGAAAGCGCGTTTGGGGAACGCTCTGATGAAGCGAGGCTACTTCCCGGAAAGCAAGATCCTGCTAACAGATGTTCTGGAGGCCCGTGAGCGCACCCTCGGCGCCGAGCATCCTGACACATTGGCCTCAGTCAACAATTTGGCAACTTGCCTCACTGCCATGGGCCAGCTGAAAGATGCAGAAGTGCTGTACAGGAGAGCTTTGGAAGACCGTGAGCGCACCGTTGGTGCCGAGCATCCTTCCACATTGGCCTCAGTCAACAATTTGGCAACTTGCCTCACTGCCATGGGCCGGCTAAAAGATGCAGAAGTGCTCTACAGGAGAGCTTTGGAGGCCTGTGAGCGCACCCTCGGTGCCGAGCATCCTTCCACATTGCGCTCAGTCAACAATTTGGCGATTTGCTTCAGAAAGATGGGCCAGCTGAAAGATGCAGAAGCGCTCTACAGGAGAGCTTTGGAAGCCCAGGAGCGCACCCACGGTGCCGAGCATCCTGACACATTGGTCTCAGTCCACAATTTGGCAACTTGCCTCCAAGCGAGGGGCCAGCTGAAAGATGCAGAAGTGCTGTACAGGAGAGCTTTGGAGGCGCGTGAGTGCTCCCTCAGTGCCGAGCATCCTTCCACATTGGGCTCAGTCAACAATTTGGCAAATTGCCTCACAGCCATGGGCCGGCTGAAAGATGCAGAAGTGCTGTACAGGAGAGCTTTGGAGGCCCGTGAGCGCACCCTCGGTGCCGAGCATCCTGGCACGTTGGGCTCGGTCGACGGTTTGGCGATGTGCCTGAGAGACATGGGCCAGCTGAAAGATGCAGAAGTGCTCTCTAGGAGAGCTTTGGATGCCCGTGAGCGCACCTTCGGTGCCGAGCATCTTGACGCATTGGCCTCAGTCAACAATTTGGCAATTTGCCTCGAAGCCATGGGCCAGCTGACAGATGCAGAAGCGCTCTACAGGAGAGCTTTGGAGGCCCAGCAGCGCACCCTCGGTGCCGAGCATCCTTCCACATTGGGCTCAGTCAACAATTTGGCAAGGTGCCTCCAAGCTAGGGGCCAGCGGAAAGATGCAGAAGTGCTCTACAGGAGAGCTTTGGAGGCCCAGCAGCGCACCCTCGGTGCCGAGCATCCTTCCACATTGGACTCAGTCAACAACTTGGCAAGGTGCCTCCAAGCCATGGGCCAGCTGAAAGATGCAGAAGTGCTCTCTAGGAGAGCTTTGGAGGCCCGTGAGCGCACCTTCGGTGCCGAGCATCGTTCCACATTAATCTCAGTCCACAATTTGGCATTTTGCCTCCAAGATAGGGGCCAGCTGAAAGATGCAGAAGTGCTGTACAGGAGAGCTTTGGAGGCCCAGCAGCGCACCCTCGGCGCCGAGCATCCTCACACATTGTGCTCAGTCAACAGTTTGGCAACTTGCCTCGGCCAGACGGGCCGGCTGAAAAATGCAGAAGTGCTCTACAGAGCTGTGGAGGCCCAGGAGCGCACCCTCGGTGCCGAGCATCCTGAGACATTGGGCTCAGTCAACAATTTGGCATTTTGCCTCAGAGCCATGGGCCAGCTGAAAGATGCAGAAGCGCTCTACAGGAGAGCTTTGGAGGCCCGTGAGCGCACCCTCGGTGCCGAGCATCCTTCCACATTGGGCTCAGTCAACAATTTGGCATTTTGCCTCAGAGCCATGGGCCAGCTGAAAGATGCAGAAGCGCTCTACAGGAGAGCTTTGGAGGCCCAGGAGCGCACCCTCGGTGTCGAGCATCCTTCCACACTGGTCTCAGTCAAAAATTTGGCAAATTGCCTCAGTGAGATGGGCCAGCTGAAAGATGCAGAAGTGCTCTACAGGAGAGCTTTGGAGGCCAAGGAGCGCACCCTCGGTGCCCAGCATCCTTCCACATTGCGCTCAGTCAACAATTTGGCGATTTGCCGCAGAGCCATGGGCCAGCGGAAGCGCTCTACAGGAGAGCTTTGGAATTGCCTGAACGGATTAGCTAGCAAATGCCTCAGCTTGGCCTTATTTCGGTAAGGTTTCACCACGGAAAAAGGCGATCCCGCGGTCGACTATCACCTCGCCGCTTTCCTGACATGATATTTTGAATCTGAATTGCTTTAACATCATGTCCTATAGTGAGAGTCAGAACCACCACAAGTGTCCATAAGTGTTGTTTTAGACGCAGTCACAACCGATGATCCCCGTGGGTCAAGTTTGTTGAAGATGCACAGACCTCACCATGTGAAACGCCGCCATCGCCCGAGGTTCAACAGGCATCGCCCAGTGATTCCACACGGCCTTTCCGCCAAGCCCTCAGCTCACGGAACCGACTTCATGCGACATGAGAAGCAGCAAGCTGCGGCTTATGGAGCTTCATTGAGCTATCCTAAGCGATGATCATCAACCTAGGGACCAGCGAAAAAACAACGGTCCATGGTTCATTGTTGATTATACCTCAAACACTTGGCGTGATGTTTGTCGTCGAAGGTGCAGATTGCATCATGAACAATATTCTCTTGTTCTGTGGTGCCCACATGTGGCGGGTCACATCTTGCATTGGCAAGCTGTATTGGAATGCTAGGAAGATTTTTGAACCCACAGGGAATCTTAAGCATCACCGTTGAGGGGTGGTTCTTGTAGATGATAAAATGATTCCACCAACGTCTGACAGGGCGATATCTTTCGCATAGGGACAGCTGACAGGTCATCATAGCCATGGATGAGTGATGAAACTTAGTGCAAAATGTTGGAGGTCTGACATGTTGGAAACATTGTTTTTTGTTTGAGATCTCATGGCTGGCACGTCCATTTGGATAAACTGGCGCACATCCAAAAACTGCAGTCTTGATGCGAAATATGATGATGAACTCCAGTGGATTTGGGGCAGACAGCATACGCTGTACTGGCGAAATCGTAGATGACGGAAAATGTCGCTGAAAATTTCTCTGAGTGTCTGTTTGAATACATTACATAATAGCTCAAAATAGCTCAACACAATTGCCCCCAGAGGGTGCCAGATCCTGGACATCTAAAAATGGCGCTTATCCCTGAGTCCTAAGTGCAGGTACCCCATCATTCCTTCGCCATTCTTTCACCGAGCACGTCATGATCTGATGGTTACTTCTTGAATCCCCAATATCGGTGAGTTGGTCAAATCTCTATGGTTGGCCAAAATCACCGCGTTTGCGCAGTTGAAGTCAGCCATTTTTGGTGGAATTCCTTTTCTTTATTTGGTTATGTTGAAGATTCCCCGTTTTGGATCGTTTCGGACCATTTTGGTAGGTTGAAGTCGGCAAATTTGGGATGGTCGAGCTGCCTTAATGAGTTTGTTTCGCTGGTGGATACCTCAAAATGACCATTTTATTGTGGCAAAGGAGATATTACACTGATTACACTGTCCCAATTTGAGATCTACAGGCCTACAGGTACCTATTTTGTGTGCGCTCCCGAGTCCCTAAGGAATGGTCGGAATGGCGAAGTGCTAAGCCGCGTGGCAGATGACCAGGGCTTCCTAATGGTGCTCAGCTTGACTCATGGGACCTTTGAAGTACCTACTCGTAGGACGGATACCCATCGGCAATGCACCCTTATGGGAAATAAATTGAAATAGTCTGTGAGTTTCTGTGATCAAAGATATGGAGCGGATTTGTTTGACAGGAGACTGGGCCCGTGGCTTCAAGGGAACAAGGGAATAAAATGAATAAAACCCAGCATGGTGAGAGGAAGCCAACTAAGCCAACTTAAATATGGTTGAATTGGTTTCAAGACGAAGATTTGACGTGCCGAAGCTAGGCAGATTCTGAGACGCTGGCTGACCATGGAACATCCAAGAAGGTTTCAGACTTTTCAGATGTTGCTATTTCAATTGAAAATTCACAGAATTTCACAGGTTGGGCCCTGGTTGGGCCGGCAATCTATATGGGATTCTGTTGGATCCCTCAATTCCCCCCAACAATCCAATCGATTATCAACGTGAAGACGGAGCCACTAAATTATCCAACGAGAATTCAGCGATTTGAAATCGCTGAAATCGAGTTTTCACTTGTTTTCAGCACAGAATCCAATGGGTCGAAATGGGTTGAAAGGGGTTGAAGTATGTATGGGTCATATCCACTGCAGATTACTCCATTGCGCACTCTGCTCAGGTCCGCGTTCAAATGCCGGATGGCACCAAAAATATGTGCCTCGTTTGAAATTAGAATCGGTCCAACATGGTCCAACTGTCAAAAGATGTCAAAAGCATGAATTGTATTTAAAATATGTTTAAATGTATCATCCCGCAAGTATTGATCTATGATTTTGGATGTGTTTTGTTTTATCATTTTATCCGTTTTGACCCGATATGTGTGGTTTGAAATTTGATGAAGTTTGGTGGGAAAGCTCCCCGCCTCTCAGGAAGATCCAACCACGATGTTTGAAGCCCGTCAGGCGGGACTTTTTAGAAAGCTAGCAGGTGGTAATGTAAACTATACTATTAGCAAATAGCAACAATAAAACCATCAAATTGGGACATAGTGAATACAAAATGATACAACCAACAAGAAACTGGGTGCTGCTGTTAAGCTTCTGGTTTTCACCCATCAAAACTTGGAATTCACCAAATCAAATGGGGATCCAACCCATGTAGAAGCTTGGTGGTATGATGGGCCCACCAAACATGGGGATGGCTCAAGAATGTGAGATAACTGAGATCACCATGTGATTCATCGTTGAACAAGCCATTTTTGGAATTGAATCATCCCATTCCTGGGCTTTTGTCGATCTGAAATCCATTAGGGCAACTTCATCGAAGTCTTGGAAACAGCGGTGAACTGATCTGGAAAAGATCACCCAGAACTCATATTTCTATGTTTTCTATGATAGAAATACCAAGATTTCTGCCAGAGTAGCTGAACACGTTGCTTTGACACGCGACACGGAAGTAGTTTGACTTCACAGTGGGTGATGTTTTTGTTTGGGGTTTGGATGTTGGATGTGGATGTTGTTTGGATGTGCCAGGCATCCCAAGGATGGCCGCATTCGAGGAGCGAGGCTCACAGCCTTCAGAGACGCAGAAGCACAATCCGCCAGGGACACCCAGAGCGAAGCGAAAAAAACGGAACCGGAAAAAGATGTTGGGAAAGTTGGAAGTTTTGTTCGAAGTGCCTGTTTCGTTTAGAAACTTGGAGTTCCTGAAATGGAACATGCCAAAACATGCGAAACTCAAGAAAATTGGATGAAACAGAAGAGAAAATTTTGTTTTGCTGAAACAATTCATGATATTCATGGAAATGTTGAAGTTCAAAATTCATAACTTTGCAAGCCCTTTTGGCAGAAGCGAATTTCACCTAGCATGTTGCAGGTGTGATGCTGATACACTTTTCATGTCACCGCAATTCTTTCTTCATTCTCAGCCTTGGCGTTGGCTTTTCATGTTACTCAACTGATCTCAACTGCATATCTCAACGGCAAAATATGGGAGTCTGCGGCTTTGGAGTCACTAGGTTCTGAGACCCGAAACAACCCGTCATAGCTATGGAGATACACGTGGCTGCGTGGCTGCTGGTTTCCAGTTTTGGTGCACCAAAAACAGAATGGCCTCAAATATACGTGAAAATAGTTTTTATAAGCATCTAATGGCATATATATAATATTATACATATATGTATATTATGTATATATGTGTATATATATATAATACATATACAAATTGAAAATCATGAGGTAGACAGTGTGAACTGCCCGACGCCGCCAGGTCCTGTCCTCCCGACCCGGAACAGCTCTGAGTGCCGCTGCGCAGAGTCTTTTGCGTCGGGGTCTCGGAGAATCTCAGAGAATGTCAGGATGTCCTCAGGATGCCCTCAGGATGTCCTGAGGGAATTTCCGGAGCCAAGGCCAAGTGAGTCAAGGGAGTGAGATTCAGCACTGTCCCGGGGATGTTTAAGATATGTGTTTAATGATCAAGAATTGGTGTTTTCAAAAGTTCAGAATCTTCATGATGACATTGCTAGGGCACACCATTGGCAAACCCGGACCCAAAATCGCAATTTGATTCAGGACGAGAAATCAATCGATTTGAAGGTAATATTGGATCAACCCGCTCGGATTGCCCAGGTACCCAAACTTCAATGAATGAAGACTCTTCAAACTTGTCCAAAGCACCCCTTGAAGCCATTCGATGCTTGGCAGAATCTGTTCTCAGGGCGGAGTGCAATGCCGTTGCATCGGGAAATAAGATGGGTCAGAATACCCGTTGTATCATGATTTATCATTGATATCATGATGTATTTCATCATATTCGGTGCACTAGTGCTTCCCTGGATACCAATGCAATACCATGCGCCTTGTGGAAAATGTTTCCAGGTCGCTGTCGCCATGTCATCCCAGGCGAAGCTCAAGTAGAGTGACCGACAGAATTTGACACCTGACAGAACTGAGATTGGCCAATCGGTCAACGCGGTCAACGCGACCTGGCAACCGGGGTGTGATCTTGTTCTGTTCGATCGGTTTGATCTCATGTCAGGCCAAACCAAAACGATGGGAAAGCTGTTCCTGTTTGGTTCACCCTTCTATCTTTGCACACTATTTTTGGTCCAAAACTGCATTAGAGTTTGGGTAGCTATGCAGTTGTACTATGGGTAATTGTGCCATGGGCAATTGCTTTTCTTGCCGATCTGCTTTGCGCAGTTCGACCCTTGAAATCCCTTGCAAGCCTGCGAATGATCTTACGGCTGTGCTGAAAAGAGCCATCCGTGGCAACAAATGCAGGCATGCCAGTTTCACAGATCACAGATCATCATAGATCATCATAGATCACTGATGAAGTAGGTCACTAAGTAGGTGTCCTGCGTCCTAAAGCTCGGTGTGGAGTGAAAAGAAAGCTCTGCGGAACGGCAGGTCTTGCTGAAGGTGATGTTGTATTCCGAAAGGCACCATTTGGGGAATTTGTAGTGGCTCAGTGGCTCTTTATTTTGTTTCTGTGCAATGCCTCTTAAGCAAATCCAAGACTTTGCAAAGTGCGAGCCTTTGCATTGCAAATAGTCATACGAAGGTGCACCCTCAATGCATCGCTGTATATTCGCTCCTGAGAAGCCTGTTCTGAGACGAGATTGCAATCACTGATCCACTAGATTTTGAGTCCATGATCCATGAATGAATGCCCTGGGATGACTTGACCTTAAATGTTTGTTAGGGGATTGACAATTGGGGCGGGTGAAACATTACAATGTGGCCAGTTCATTTCATGTAAGCAACCGCTACAGGACATCTTCAAGTCCCAACAGTATCCTAGATTCAAGCCCCCCTCCACAGGGGTTCTTGAGGGGTGGTAATCCAGTCAAGTTGGCTTCACTTCTGACAAATTCCAGGGGCTTGCAATGATACCAGAATGGTTCCTGTCATTGGAACCTCCTAGGCTGTGCAGTGCCCACACCACTCATGAAAGTCAAGGATGGTGGATTCCAGCATGACGAAAAAAAGCCAATTGCAGATCTAAGGGGAAAATCTTGTGGACCAGCCAACTCCAATTGCCCTGTGGACCATCCTGTTGATCTTGTTTCACGATGAAGTTTTGGGAGGTTTCCACCTGGCATAGATTGGCATAGATTCCAGAATTCCAGCTGGCAGTCGTCTCTGCGATATCCGATCGATTCCAGGTCTCCAGAGCTACAGCAGCCTTCCCCTGCAGAGCACGACTGAATCGTTCCTTGCCAAGACCTTGCAGCATGGGGCACTGTTTGGTTGATATTTAATATGGTCAACTTTGCCTGCACGACACTCATGAGCTTTGAGTTTTCTCAAGGCAGAAGTTCAGCTATTCAACAGATGCATCATGGCTGCTGTTTTTTGCTGTTCCTAAGTTCCTAAGGTGCCGTTGCATCATGATTCATTTTGAGGTGGGCTGGATCCAGGTTGACGGATTTTCCAGGCCACAAGCCTAGCAGAGCGCCGAGCTTGGAGGTGCATTTGGCTCGGAGGCAGGCTAATATCAAGGAGCATCTTTCAGCAGGCATAGCAACGCATAGCAACCACTGCTTGGCACTAGCTGTGAGAAGGCGGAACTGTTTTAAGGTAGCTATATGATTCAAGGTACCAATCCTAGCTGAGTATAGCATGGTATAGCTAAATTAAAACATGTGGTGCCACCCCCTGTATGATTGCATGAAGATCTCTAAGCTCCATAAATCTCCATAAGAAAACTGCAGATTGCACACTTGCTTCCGTCATTCAGTGTGTTTATAAGCCATGACGGCAACTTCCACTGTGGACGACTTGCGGTGTTACTTCGAAACCTTCTACCGAGAGGGCGGGGAGTTCCAAAGTGAAGAGTACGAGGACAGCGAGGATTTCGATCATTCCTGGAAGCATCTTCGAACAGGCATCGTTGTGTGGAAAGATGCCATTGATTTGTCAACAGGGCCAGGTGCCAAGGCCTTCTTTCACTACACGGGGGAGCTGGCTTTCAGAAACATCACGGCCCTTGAGAAAGAAGCTGCAGAGGTATGGGCCTCACTGAAAACAGAGGGAGAAAGTGCAAACGCCTGGTGGGGGCGCGGTGTGTACAGCGTCCCCAAATCTCCCGACCAATGGGCAGACCAAATGGAACTCTTAGATAACAATTTCAGAAATATGATGAGGCGAGATATGGCACTTCATGGTGAAGAGTATGTGAAAAGAGAGTATCCACCACGTGCATCGTTCTGCATTCCTTTGCTCATCGACCCAGAGAATGCCTACGACATTTCAGTGAGGCCAACGCCTGAGATGGAGGCAGCGGGAAAGCCACCGGGCATGAATCTCGGTGACAAGCTGTTGAATGAGCCCGGACAGCCAGAGCGCTGCTGTGTGGTTCTCCGGGTGGCTGGGGAGGACGGCGTTGCCAATGCTCGAGCTCGCCTGTTAGATGCTCTGCGAGCACGCGAAGCGGCTGCTCAGAGTCCTGGCCTCGAGATTGCTGCCAAAACGCCTTTGGGGGTTGCTCTGATGAAGCGAGGCTACTTTCCCGAGAGCAAGATCCTGCTAACAAATGTTCTGGAGGCCCAGGAGCGCACCCTCGGTGCCGAGCATCCTTCCACATTGGCCTCAGTCCACAATTTGGCAGATTGCCTCAAAGCTAGGGGCCGGCTGAAAGATGCAGAAGCGCTCCACAGGAGAGCTTTGGAGGCCCGTGAGCGCACCCTCGGTGCCGAGCATCCTTCCACATTGGCCTCAGTCAACAATTTGGCAAATTGCCTCAAAGACATGGGCCAGCTGAAAGATGCAGAAGCGCTCTACAGGAGAGCTTTGGAGGCCCGTGAGCGCACCCTCGGTGCCGAGCATCCTGACACATTGGGATCAGTCAACGATTTAGCAAATTGCCTCAGAGAGATGGGCCAGCTGAAAGATGCAGAAGCGCTCTACAGGAGAGCTTTGGAGGCCCGTGAGCGCACCCTCGGTGCCGAGCATCCTTCCACATTGGGCTCAGTCAACAATTTGGCAAATTGCTTCAGAGCCAGGGGCCAGCTGAAAGATGCAGAAGTGCTCTACAGGAGAGCTTTGGAGGCCAAGGAGCGCACCCTCGGTGCCGAGCATCCTTCCACATTGTTCTCAGTCGGCAGTTTGGCAGAGTGCCTCAGACAGATGGGCCAGCTGAAAGATGCAGAAGTGCTCCACAGGAGAGCTTTGGAGGCCCAGGAGCGCACCCTCGGTGCTGAGCATCCTTCCACATTGGGCTCAGTCAACAATTTGGCGATTTGCTTCCGAGATAGGGGCCAGCTGAAAGATGCAGAAGTGCTCCACAGGAGAGCTTTGGAGGCCGAGGAGCGCACCCTCGGTGCCGAGCATCCTTCCACATTGGGCTCAGTCAACAATTTGGCAGATTGCCTCAGTGAGATGGGCCAGCTGAAAGATGCAGAAGCACTCTACAGGAGAGCTTTGGAGGCCCGTGAGCGCACCCTCGGTGCCGAGCATCCTTCCACATTGAGCTCAGTCGGCAATTTGGCGATTTGCCTCGAAGCCATGGGCCAGCTGAAAGATGGAGAAGCGCTCTACAGGAGAGCTTTGGAGGCCAAGGAGCGCACCCTCGGTGCCGAGCATCCTTCCACACTGCGCTCAGTCGGCAATTTGGCGATTTGCTTCAAAGCCATGGGCCAGCTGAAAGATGCAGAAGTGCTGTACAGGAGAGCTTTGGAGGCCCAGGAGCGCACCCTCGGTGCCGAGCATCCTTCCACATTGAACTCAGTCAACAATTTGGCAAGGTGCCTCCAAGCTAGGGGGCAGCGGAAAGATGCAGAAGCGCTTTACAGGAGAGCTTTGGAGGCCCAGGAGCGCATCCTCGGTGCCGAGCATCCTGACACATTGCGCTCAGGCAACAATTTGGCAAATTGTCTCAGAGCCATGGGCCAGCTGAAAGATGCTTTGAAATAGCCTGAACGGATTAGCCAGTAAATGCCTCCGCTTGGCTTTATTTCGGTAAGGTTTCACCACGGAAAAAGGCGATCCTGCGGTCGACTATCACCTCGCCACTTTCCTGACATGATATTTTGAATCTGAATTGCTTCAACATCATGTCCTATAGTGAGGAACCACCACAAGTGTCCATAAGTGTTTCATGTTGTAGACGCAATCACAACCGATGATCCCCGTGGGTCAAGTTGGTTGAAGATGCACAGACCTCACCATGCGAAACGCTGCCATCGGCCGAGGTTCAACATGCATCGCCCAGTCCACACGGCCTCCGCCCAGCCCTCAGCTCACGGAACAGACTTCATGCGACATGAGAAGCAGCAACCTGCGGCTTATGGAGCTTCTTCATTGAGCTATCCTAAGCAATGATCATCTACCTAAGGACCAACAAAAAAACAATGGTCCATGGTTCATTGTTTATTATGCCTCTAACACTTGGCGTTATGTTTTCCGTCAAAGGTCCAGATTGCATCATGAATAATATTCTCCTGTTCTGTGGTGCCCACATGTGGCGGGTCACATCTTGAATTGGCAAGCTGTATTGGAATGCTAGGAATATTTCTTGAACCCATGGGGAATCTTAAGCATCACCGTTGAGGGGTGGTTCTTGTAGATGATAAAATGATTCCACCAACGTCTGACAGGGTGATATCTTTCGCATGGGGACAGCCGACAGGTCATCATAGCCATGGATGAGTGATGAAACTTCGCGCGAAATGTTGGAGGTCTGACATGTTGGAAACATTTACAATGTTTTCTTGTTTGAGATCTCATGGCTGGCACGTCCATTTGGATAAACTGGCGCACATCCAAAAGCTGCAGTCTTGATGCGAAATATGATGAACTCCAGTGGATTTGGGGCAGACAGCAGACGCTGTATCCCATGCATGCCAAAAACTGGCGAAATCGTAGATGACGGAAAATGTCGCTGAAAATGTCTCACTGAGTGTTTGAATAAATATGAATAAATAATAGCTCAACATAGCTCAACACAATTGACCCAGAAAGGAGGGAGCCAGATCCTGGACATCTAAAAATGGCGCTTATCCCTGAGTCCTAAGTGCAGGTACCCCATCATTCCTTCGCCATTCTTTCACCGAGCACGTCATGATTTGATGGTTACTTCTTGAATCCCCAATATCGGTCAGTTGGTCAAATCTCCATGGTTCTTGGCCAATATCAGCCGTTTTGGTGGAATTCCTTTTCTTTATTTGGTTATGTTGAAGATTCCCCGTTTTGGATCGTTTCGGACCATTTTGGTAGGTTGAAGTCGGCAAATTTGGGATGGTCGAGCTGCCTTAATGAGTTTGTTTCGCTGGTGGATACCTCAAAATGACAATTTTATTGTGACAAAGGGGATATTACATTGTCCCAATTTGAGATCTACCTATTTTGCGCGCGCTCCCCATGAAAGTCAAGGATGGTGGATTCCAGCATGACGAAAACCACGCCAATTGCAGATCTAAGGAGAAAATCTTGTGGACCAGCCAACTCCAATTGCCCTGTGGACCATCTTGTTGGAATGTTTCACGATGAAGTTTTGGGAGGTCTCCTGGCATAGATTCCAGAATTCCAGCTGGCAGTCGTCTCTGCGATATCCGATCGATTCCAGGTCTCCAGAGCTACAGCAGCCTTCCCCTGCAGAGCCCGACGGAATCGTTCCTTGGCACCAAGACCGGGCAGCGTGGGGCGTGGGGCACTGTTTGGTTGATATTTAATATGGTCAACTTTGCCTGCACGACACTCATGAGCTTTGAGTTTTCTCAAGGCAGAAGTTCAGCTATTCAACAGATGCATCATGGCTGCTGTCTTTTGCTGTTCCTAAGTTCCTAAGGTGCCGTTGCATCATGATTCATTTTGAGGTGGGCTGGATCCAGGTTGACGGATTTTCCAGGCCACAAGCCTAGCAGAGCGCCGAGCTTGGAGGTGCATTTGGCTCGGAGGCAGGCTAATATCAAGGAGCATCTTTCAGCAGGCATAGCAACGCATAGCAACCACTGCTTGGCACTAGCTGTGAGAAGGCGGAACTGTTTTAAGGTAGCTATATAATTCAAGGTACCAATGCAGTCAAGATACCAATCCTAGCTGGGTATGGCATGGTATAGCTAAATTAAAACATTTGGTGCCACCCCCCGTATGATTGCATGAAGATCTCTAAGCTCCATAAATCTCCATCAGAAAACTGCAGATTGCACACTTGCTTCCGTCATTCAGTGTGTTTATAAGCCATGACGGCAATTTCCACTGTGGACGACTTGCGGCGTTACTTCGAAACTCTCTACCGAGAGGGTGGGGAGTTCCAAAGTGAAGAGTACGAGGACAGCGAGGATTTCAATCATTCCTGGAAGCATCTTCGAACAGGCATCGTTGTCTGGAAAGATGCCATTGATTTGTCAGCAAGGCCAGGTGCCAAGGCTTTCTTTGACTACACGGGGGAGCTGGCTTTCAGAAACATCACGGCCCTTGAGAAAGAAGCTGCAGAGGTATGGGCCTCACTCAAAACAGAGGGAGAAAGTGCAAACGCCTGGTGGGGGCGCGGTGTGTACAGCGTCCCTAAATCTCCCGACAAATGGGCAAACCAGATGGAACTCTTAGATAACAATTTTAGAAACATGATGAAGAGGGATGTGGCACTTCATGGTGAAGAGTATGTGAAAAGAGAGTATCCACCACGTGCATCGTTCTGCATTCCTTTGCTCATCGACCCAGAGAATGCCTACGACATTTCAGTGAGGCCAACGCCTGAGATGGAGGCAGCGGGAAAGCCACCGGGCATGAATCTCGGTGACAAGCTGTTGAATGAGCCCGGACAGCCAGAGCGCTGCTGTGTGGTTCTCCGGGTGGCTGGGGAGGACGGCGTTGCCAATGCTCGAGCTCGCCTGTTAGATGCTCTGCGAGCACGCGAAGCGGCTGCTCAGATTCCTAACCTCAAGATTACCGCGAAAGCGCGCTTGGGGAATGCTCTGAGGCAGCGAGGATACTTACCGGAAAGCAAGATCCTGCTAACAGATGTTCTGGAGGCCCGTGAGCGCACCCTCGGTGCCGAGCATCCTTCCACATTGGATTCAGTCAACAATTTGGCAAATTGTCTCAGAGCCATGGGCCAGCTGAAAGATGCAGAAGTGCTCTACAGGAAAGCTTTGAAGGCCCGTGAGCGCAGCCTCGGTGCCGAGCATTTTGAGACATTGGGCTCAGTCAACAATTTGGCAATTTGTCTCATAGCCATGGGCCAGCTGAAAGATGCAGAAGCGCTCCACAGGAGAGCTTTGGAGGCCTGTGAGCGCACCCTCAGTGCCGAGCATCCTTACACATTGGGCTCAGTCAGCAATTTGGCAAATTGCCTCAGACGCATGGGCCAGCTGAAAGATGCAGAAGTGCTCTTCAGGAGAGCTTTGGAGGCCTGTGAGCGCACCCTTGGTGCCGAGCATCCTTTCACATTGGGCTCAATCAACAATTTGGCAGATTGCCTCGAAGCCATGGGCCAGCTGAAAGATGCAGAAGTGCTCCACAGGAGAACTTTGGAGGCCAAGGAGCGCACCCTCGGTGCCGAGCATCCTTCCACATTAGTCTCAGTCAACAATTTGGCACTTTGCCTCAGAGCCATGGGCCAGCTGAAAGATGCAGAAATGCACCACAGGAGAGTTTTGGAGGTCCGTGAGCGCACCCTCGGTGCCGAGCATCCTGACGCATTGGGCTCAGTCAGCAATTTGGCAATTTGCCTCAGTGAGATGGGTCAGCTGCAAGATGCAGAAGCGCTCCACAGGAGAGCTTTGGAGGCCCGTGAGCGCACCCTCGGTGCCGAGCATCCTTCCACAGTGGACTCAGTCAACAATTTGGCACTTTGCCTCAGTGAGATGGGCCAGCTGAAAGATGCAGAAGCGCTCTACAGGAGAGCTTTGGAATAGCCTGAACGGAATGGCCCGTAAATGCCTCAGCTTGGTTTATTTCGGTAAGGTTTCACCACGGAAAAAGGCGATCCTGCGGTCGACTATCACCTCGCCACTTTCCTGACATAATATTTTGAATGTGAATTGCTTTAACATCACGTCCTATAGTGAGAGTCAGAACCACCACAAGTGTCCATAAGTGTTTCACTCATGTTGTAGACGCAGTCACAACCGATGATCCCCGTGGGTCAAGTTGGTTGAAGATGCACAGACCTCACCATGTGAAACGCCGCCATCGCCCGAGGTTCAACAGGCATCGCCCAGTGATTCCACACGGCTTTTCCGCCCAGCCCTCAGCTTACGGAACCGACTTCATGCGACATGAGAAGCAGCAACCTGCGGTTGCTTATGGAGCAATAAAAAAAAACAATGGTCCATGGTTCATTGTTGATTATACCTCTAACACTTGGCGTGATGTTTTCCGTCGAAGGTCCCGATTGCATAATATTCTCTTGTTCTGTGGTGCCCACATGTGGCGGGTCACATCTTGAATTGGCAAGCTGTATTGGAATGCTAGGAATATTTTTTGAACCCATAGGGAATCTTAAGCATCACGTTGAGGGGTGGTTCTTGTAGATGATAAAATGATTCCACCAACGTCTGACAGGGTGATATCTTTCGCATTCGGACAGCTGACTGCTCATCATGGCCATGGATGAGTGATGAAACTTAGTGCGAAATGTTGGAGGTCTGACATGTTGGAAACATTGTTTTTTTTTGTTCGAGAGCTCATGGCTGGCACGTCCATTTGGAGAAACTGGCGCACATCCAAAAACTGCAGTCTTGATGCGAAATATGATGATGAACTCCAGCGCATACGCTGTATCCCATTTTGGGGTAGACAGCATACGCACCCCATTTTGGATGCCAAAAACTGGCGAAATCGTAGATGACGGAAAATGTCGTTGAAAATTTCTCTGAGTGTTTGAAAAATAATAGCTCAACATAGCTCAACATAGCTCAACACAATTGACCCAAGAGGGAGCCAGATCCTGGACATCTAAAAATGGCGCTTATCCCTGAGTCCTAAGTGCAGGTACCCCATCATTCCTTCGCCATTCTTTCACCGAGCACGTCATGATTTGATGGTTACTTCCTGAATCCCCAATATCGGTCAAATGGTCAAATCTCCATGGTTCTTGGCCAAAATCACCGCGTTTGCGCAGTTGAACTCAGCCGTTTTGGTGGAATTCCTTTTCTTTATTTGGTTATGTTGAAGATTCCCCGTTTTGGATCGTTTCGGACCATTTTTGTAGGTTGAAGTCGGCAAATTTGGGATGGTCGAGCTGCCTTAATGAGTTTGTTTCGCTGGTGGATACCTCAAAATGACAATTTTATTGTGGCAAAGGGGATATTACATTGTCCCAATTTGAGATCTACAGGTACCTATTTTGTGTGCGCTCCCCATGAAAGTCAAGGATGGTGGATTCCAGCTGCAGATCTAAGGGGAAAATCTTGTGGACCAGCCAACTCCAATTGCCCTGTGGACCATCTTGTTGATCTTGTTTCACGATGAAGTTTTGGGAGGTCTCCTGGCGTAGATTCCAGAATTCCCGCTGGCAGTGGTCTCTGCGATATCCGATCAATTCCAGGTCTCCAGAGCTACAGCAGCCTTCCCCTGCAGAGCCCGACGGAATCGTTCCTTGCCAAGACCTTGCAGCATGGGGCACTGTTTGGTTGATATTTAATATGGTCAACTTTGCCTGCACGACACCCATGAGCTTTGAGTTTTCTCAAGGCAGAAGTTCAGCTATTCAACAGATGCATCATGGCTGCTGTTTTTTGCTGTTCCTAAGTTCCTAAGGTGCCGTTGCATCATGATTCATTTTGAGGTGGGCTGGATCCAGGTTGACGGATTTTCCAGGCCACAAGCCTAGCAGAGCGCCGAGCTTGGAGGTGCATTTGGCTCGGAGGCAGGCTAATATCAAGGAGCATCTTTCAGCAGCATAGCAACGCATAGCAACCACTGCTTGGCACTAGCTGTGAGAAGGCGGAACTGTTTTAAGGTAGCTATATAATTCAAGGTACCAACGCATTCAAGGTACCAATCCTAGCTCGGTATAGCATGGTATAGCTAAATTAGAACATTTGGTGCCACCCCCTGTATGATTGCATGAAGATCTCTAAGCTCCATAAATCTCCATCAGAAAACTGCAGATTGCACACTTGCTTCCGTCATTCAGTGCGTTTATAAGCCATGACGGCAACTTCCACTGTGGACTTGCGGCGTTACTTCGAAACCTTCTACCGAGAGGGTGGGGAGTTCCAAAGTGAAGAGTACGAGGACAGCGAGGATTTCAATCATTCCTGGAAGCATCTTCGAACAGGCATCGTTGTATGGAAAGATGCCATTGATTTGTCAGCAAGGCCAGGTGCCAAGGCTTTCTTTCACTACACGGGGGAGCTGGCTTTCAGAAACATCACCGCCCTTGAGAAAGAAGCTGCAGAGGTATGGGCCTCACTCAAAACAGAGGGAGAAAGTGCAAACGCGTGGTGGGGGCGTGGTGTGTACAGCGTCCCTAAATCTCCCGACCGATGGGCAGACCGAATGGAACTCTTAGATAACAATTTCCGAAACATGATGAAAAGAGATGTGGCACTTCATGGTGAAGAGCATGTGAAAAGAGAGTATCCACCACGTGCATCGTTCTGCATTCCTTTGCTCATCGACCCAGAGAATGCCTACGACATTTCAGTGAGGCCAACGCCTGAGATGGAGGCAGCAGGAAAGCCACCGGGCACGAATCTCGGCGGCAAGCTGTTGAATGAGCCCGGGCAGCCAGAGCGCTGCTGTGTGGTTCTCCGGGTGGCTGGGGAGGACGGCGTTGCCAATGCTCGAGCTCGCCTGTTAGATGCTCTGCGAGCACGCGAAGCGGCTGCTCAGATTCCTGGCCTCAAGATTGCCGCGAAAGCGCGTTTGGGGAACGCTCTGATGAAGCGAGGCTACTTCCCGGAAAGCAAGATCCTGCTAACAGATGTTCTGGAGGCCCGTGAGCGCACCCTCGGCGCCGAGCATCCTGACACATTGGCCTCAGTCAACAATTTGGCAACTTGCCTCACTGCCATGGGCCAGCTGAAAGATGCAGAAGTGCTGTACAGGAGAGCTTTGGAAGACCGTGAGCGCACCGTTGGTGCCGAGCATCCTTCCACATTGGCCTCAGTCAACAATTTGGCAACTTGCCTCACTGCCATGGGCCGGCTAAAAGATGCAGAAGTGCTCTACAGGAGAGCTTTGGAGGCCTGTGAGCGCACCCTCGGTGCCGAGCATCCTTCCACATTGCGCTCAGTCAACAATTTGGCGATTTGCTTCAGAAAGATGGGCCAGCTGAAAGATGCAGAAGCGCTCTACAGGAGAGCTTTGGAAGCCCAGGAGCGCACCCACGGTGCCGAGCATCCTGACACATTGGTCTCAGTCCACAATTTGGCAACTTGCCTCCAAGCGAGGGGCCAGCTGAAAGATGCAGAAGTGCTGTACAGGAGAGCTTTGGAGGCGCGTGAGTGCTCCCTCAGTGCCGAGCATCCTTCCACATTGGGCTCAGTCAACAATTTGGCAAATTGCCTCACAGCCATGGGCCGGCTGAAAGATGCAGAAGTGCTGTACAGGAGAGCTTTGGAGGCCCGTGAGCGCACCCTCGGTGCCGAGCATCCTGGCACGTTGGGCTCGGTCGACGGTTTGGCGATGTGCCTGAGAGACATGGGCCAGCTGAAAGATGCAGAAGTGCTCTCTAGGAGAGCTTTGGATGCCCGTGAGCGCACCTTCGGTGCCGAGCATCTTGACGCATTGGCCTCAGTCAACAA